GGAGCCTAGGGAGTGCCCCGGGGCGGCGGGGATGTGAGGGGGCAGCTGCAGTGGAGGGGAAGATGGAGAAACTGCTGGAGAAATTAAAGGGATTGGTGTGTTTTTGTGTTGTAGGGTTTTTTTTTTTGTGGTTTTCTTTTTCTCTGGGACGCGTTCAGGTGTAGAGCATTATCCGTGTGGGTTAGGCCACGCTGGAGCTTTTCCCCTCTCTGTGGTGCTGTGGGTCGTGAGTCTGTGGAGAGCTGAAACATGAATTATTTCATGTATTACATGAAATAATTTGGTGCTTTCTGGGCCCCTCCCATCCCGTGATGTCTTGATCAGGCTGCTGAGGGATGTTAACACAAGTTGAGTGGATTCCTAGCAAAAAAAAATACCAAACAAGACCCCAAAAAGCCATTTCCTGGATAAAAGTTCACATCATTACCAGGCAGGTGGTTGATTTGGTTATGTAGGAGCTGCCTAAACTAGAAATGGAAGAAAAGTAGCCAAGGTTCTCCTCGGTTCCCTCCCCTAGGGGGGGCAGTCCTTCCAGATGCCAACCCCTGACTGCCTGCAGTGAGTCCTGACTCTGCCCTGGTGTCTTACAGGGAAGGAAGCCCAGAAAGGGCCTCTGCTCTTTGATGATCTCCCACCAGCCAGCAGTGCTGACTCAGGTATGCATGCTCCGTGCTTGCTGTTAGTTTGGCTTCCCGTGTTTTCTGCGTCAGCAGCTCTTGCGACGGAACTTGTGTTTGTGTTTTTCTTTGTTAGACAGGATAAAGAAAGTTGGGTTTTCAGCACCGCTATGCACAGTAGCTGCTTTCCTCTTCTTATGTTTTTTTTGTTTGATAACCAAAATGTTATATGTCTTCCACATATATTCCGTAACACGTTCCATGTAAATATTCCCTGAAAGAAATGTAATGCCTGAATTTGCCCCTTCCATCCAGGGTCAGAATTTGAAATTTGTCTCACTGGTAAACTGGCATTTTATAATTCCCACACCTCAGGAGGGCCGTACACAGAGTGTTATTCCCTCAAAGGGACAAAGGTATTTACTTCTTGCCTTTTTCTTATGTTCCAGGAAAAGGAGGGTCTTTACTCTTTGATGATCTTCCACCAGCCAGCAGCGGTGACACAGGTAAGAAGCTGTGTCAGCTCACCAAGCCTCTGCTGACCTGCCCTTCTCAGGAAAACCCATTGATGTAGCTGTTGTGTTGGATGTACGGCAAGTTGAACAGGTGTCTGTGTTGACTGACACTGGTGGTGGTGATCCGTTTGTGCCTCAGTTGTTTCAATTGGGATTCTGACTCTTTAAAAGTAAACTTAGGTCTGTTCCCAGAAGTACACCCTTCAGATGCCTTTTGGGTTCCCCTGTTGTCTGTGCCTGAAAGCTCCCTGTTTTAGGAGTGAAAGTATGTGTGTGCTTCCTATAAAAGGACTTGCTGCTGAATTTATGCAAGTAAAATGGAGCTGAAGAACTTCAGCCAACTGCATTTTTGCTTTCTTTCAGCCTCCAGTGCTATTGAGCAGGTTTCATCAGCAAGGAGCCATGGGAAAGGGGAGAAGAGAAAGTCCTTGGAGGAGGAAGAGAAGAATGGCAGGGAAGAACTTGTGGAAAAGAAAGTTTGTAAAGGTTTTCAGACAGTTTGAAAACAAATGTACTCGATTTGTGCTTTTGACCTTGGGCTGAGTAAGTCCATACCAAAGCTAAACTTTGGTTCTTCAGTCCACTTGCATTCTCAGCCTCTCTTGGGGAACAAACTGCTGCAGCAGTCTGTGGAAGGCCCTCGAGCTCCCTGGCACTCTCTGCCTCCTTCACCCAGGCTTTCTTAGCGGCCCTGCTGAAGTGGCAGAAGCTGAGCAGCAAACACCTCAGCATTTGCAGGATAAGTTCCTGTGCTGCCAAGAGGGGGATCGGTTGTGAAACCTCTAGAAGGCTAGAGCCACACCAGTTTCTTTTGCCATGTCCACAAATCTGTCCACTGGGTGGCTGCTAAGAAAGTGTGAGAGAGAGACTTGCTGTTACATACAGGGCATTTGACTTCAGTGCAGGTGCCCGTGTGTTATGT